ACCAGAGAAAAATATTATTGAGGGAGTAGAGTTCCTGCCTAGCAACTCAGAGTGCAAATCCTAGTCCTGCCCAAAGAAAAGCAAGTAAATACACATTTTCTTAAGAAAGACAGAAGACTTTCTATTTTTAATAAAGATACTAAAATTATAGAAACTTCAATTTTGACTAAAAGAAGAGTGCTACTTGGTTTCTTTATAATTTTACAATTGAAATACCTTTGATAAGTTCCTTAACCATCAAAACATTTGGTCTTTTGGGGCATATAAGTCTTTCTCCACTCAGATGCTTAAGCACACTGAAGATCACTTTTCAATTGCTCATAATGAAATTCAATGATTTTTCTGTGACTCTCAATATTTAGGAGTATATAATTCTCCATGTATATGTAGGAGATAAAATAAGAATAAATATTTAAGGAGGAAAGGAATAAATTTGATCCAAAGAACATAGCAGTAAAGATGAACTATTCCTTCAACTTCAAAAATTTGAGACTGAAAAAAATGGATCATTATGATCATGAGGAGAAGGAGGAAGATAAGTGCTTGTATGTTTCAAGCTTCAAGAGGAAATCTCTAAAATTAGAAATAATACATTGGAAGAAAGTATGTGTTTACCTTCAGCAGCTACACACCACTTTTCACTTCATGAGCTCTTCTAATTTAGGACCCATCATGAGTTAACTTTTCACAGTTATTGTCCAGGGTGCCTAGAAATGTCAGGAAATACTAGCAGTATTCAGATATATGAGCAGTGCATTTCACAGCGGACACAGGTTACACACTGTGGGAAGACATTTTTACCTTGAAAAGAGGAAGGTATTTTCTATTTATATATGCATTACATTTATTTTCTGTGCTTTTTTGGTGACTATAAAGTGAAAGCTAAAAATAGTACTTCGTGGGCTAAATCCACAAGGAAAAGAAAATGTTCATCTATGTGATGTATGGCCATGAGATGTACAGTGAAATCTAGGCATCATCAATTTCATGAATACCATGACCTTTTGTAGCCTTGAGAATATAATATTTTCTTTAGGGTCAGATCCATATGAATACATTCAAAGTACTATACTTCATTTCCATTCTAAATAAAATTCCATTACACATTATTTTAGTTTCATTCATTTTTATGGCTTAGGAATAGTATTCCTGCAGTGTTCAATTAGTTGCAAAAGGAATTTTTAAAGGGTGCATTACTGTTAATTTTCAGTTTAATTATTTACAGTAATTCATCTGTATGCTTTAGTGTGCCTGAGCTTAAACTAAAATTGTACTTTAACTTGAAACCCACAAAGAGTAAACCAAGGGGCTGGGAAGGTGGCTCAGTGGTAGAGTGCTTGCCTTGCATGCCTGAGGTCCTGGGTTCGATTCCTCAGCACCACATAAGCAAAAAGAAAAAAAGCCAGAAGTGGCATTGTGGCTCAAGTGGTAGAGCGCTAGCTTTGAGCTGAAGAGCTGAGGGACAGTGCTCAGGCCCAGAGTTCAGGCCCCACAACTGGACCCCCCCCCAAAAAAAGAGTAAACCAACCTGGGGAAATTTCACTAGTTTTATTGAATTCTCTTATAGCAAGCTTTAAATGTTTTCTTTATGATCGTACTTTTCAGAAAACAGGAAGGGGTTAATCACTTGAACATACTAACTTTTGAAAAAACATTAACAGGACATTGGAAATGCAGCTACTGTGGATACTGACTACTTTGTATCAGTATGAGATACACTTTCTCTAAGTATTTATATTATTTTTGTAACTATTATGTGATTAGCATATTTTCCCAATCTATCCTCATAAGAAACATAAACAGTGCCATAAAGAAGTGGAATTTGAAAAATTCCATTAGTTAAATTAAATAGCAGTACAACATTTGTTTTCTACACACTACATTATCATTAAGTAGTTGCACAAAGGAATTGCCATTTAACAAAACAGTCTGTGAATACAGTGCATCTTATCGATGTCACACCTTTTAACATTCTCACCTACCCCTCCCCTTTACACCTCTTTCTCACTCGTCTTAATTTTGTAGGATGTACATTGAACAGGATATACACTGAACTCTTGACTGCATTCTTCCCCTCCTCTCCTCTTCAGAGTCCACCCCTTTCTCCTTGATCTAATCCTACCCTTTGCAAGTACCCACTTCCTGGTGTTGGGTTTTTGGTGGGCTTTTTGCTGTTGTTGTTGAAATTTTCCTTTTCCTTTCTGAGGAATTACATTATTTGAGTTCTCCCTTGATTCTACCCACTTTCAGTTAGTATATTCATTAAATAAATGTATTTTAAAATTAGGAGAGCAGAGATTTCCATGCCTAAATCCTGCCCTTCCCAAGACAGCCTCAGATGTAAACATAGATAGATAGATAAATAGATAGATAGATCAATTTTGTCAAAATAAAACATAAATCTAATCTTCCTTCTGTTCTAAAATTAACTTATATTCCTATCAAACTCTCATGTTCTGTTTTGTAATTACAGAATTTATGACCTCATATCTCCTTCCTATCTGTCTCTGAATGATGTGATTTAAAAGGGACTATGCTAAATATTCATCCATCCACACATAGATTAATTACTTTGCTCAGCTGAATGTGACCCATGTGTCAAGCATAGATATGACCACTTAAAACTAAGTGTTTGAAAGAAACAAAGAGCTACCCACGTGAAAGTTAAAGTTGAGTTGCAGTTTGAATCCTAAATTCTCATTCTAGTGTTTCTGGTCTTTAAAAAAAGCAACTTTTTATTGTAAAGGCGATGTACAGAAGGGTTACAGTTACATAAGTCAGGCATTGAGTACATGTCTTTTTTGAATAGTGTCATTTCTTCCCTCTGTTTCTGATCTTTAAAGAAATTAGATGAAACAAATTTCACCTTATGCTTATAAATCAAAATGTCCACATTCTTACATAAGTAGAATCAGACACTTAGAAACAAATTTTTAAAAAGTACATGTAAATTTAAAGAAATTATTTCGATTGCTGCAGTTTGTCAGATACATAGCCTAGGGATGTTTGAGGAGACATAATTAACATTGACACAACCTAATTAACATTGATACAATCCACATCTTTATTTAAATCAGCTTCCTAATTTTACTTGCAATGAAAAATTATGTACCAGCAATGAAGTATTGATTTCAAATATAGGGAGGCTAGAAAATTCTGGAGAATTGTTATCATTTAAAGGTACATATGATACAATTCAAGGATTTACAGTATCCTATGTCATTGAGATACATTGTGACAAATCTGAACCAAATGTTCCATTTCTCTACCACAAATGGCTCCTTCTTTATAAAGTGAAATTTTATTCATTCTGTCCTAAACCATGCTATCACATTCAGATTTTTCTGCTTTATATTTTATTACATTTTATTCTTGGTGGAAAATGTCTTCATTTATCTCTAAGATGATGTAATGAGGTGAGATTTGAGTATCTCATACCTACTGTGTGCCATAGACCAAGGGATCTATTGACCATCCCTATGGGCATTTGCCCAGGCTTTTTTTAGGTCAAAAGAAATATTGAGAGTGTTTTCTGTCCTTCGTCTTTCAAAAAGGAAAAGAAGATTTATTTCTACTGCACCCAACTTTTACCACCAGAACTGCAACAATGATGCTGGCAACAAAAGCTGGCATGATCTCAGATTTCTGCTAGTGCCTGTTAGACTTCACAATTAATTCTTGTGTGTGCATTTAAGGAAACAGTGCTTCTCATGACTAGCTGACATATACACTGGAGCCACTGCTTTTGTTTCCCAGTGCTGTTTTCTTATGTTGGAGCTGTAAGAGAAGGACATTTGCAGACCACAGGGATTGTAAAGCAGCCCTCCTGTCTACTGTCAAAATGATCCCAGCAGGGAAGAAATCCTCTGAGTTTCAGAGGACACCAGACAGAACACAGAAACTCTTCGGAGAGTCACAATTACTAGTGCTTTGAATCTGGGGACAGACATTTCAATATTTCTGGTGTGGATGAATCCAACCAAGTTCTGTGTGCCTAGTCATAATCATGGGAAAATGACAAGGAAATAGAATAATTTCCTTTAATAATACCAAATACGAGAATCTTAAGAAAACAATCATCTCATTGATAGTGAGTCCTTGCTAACATTTTCCCTATTCCAATTAGTCATTGAGTTGTTTAACCTGAGTATCTCCAATCCTAAACTGATTTGGAAGCCCTTGGTCAAGAATGTCTGAATGGCCGAGTGCCGGTGTTTCAAGCCTGTAATCCTAGCTACTCAGGAGGCTGAGATCTGAGGATCACCGTTCAAAGCCAGCCCAGGCAGGAAAGTCTGTAAGACTCTTATCTCCAGAAATCCAGAAGTGCCGCTGTGGCTCAAACGGTAGAGTGTTCGCCTTAAGCTGAAGGGCTGATGGATAGGGCCCAAGCCCAGAGTTCAAGCCCCATGACCAAAAAAAAAAAAGAATTTCTGAATGTACTGGACCCAGATTCCAGAGCCATTGTCTTGGGAGAAAGAAATCATTTTGAAGTGATCTTCTCTCTCTACAGCTCCAGAAGACTCTTGAGACAGGGCCAGAACAGTACTTTCCATTTCTATGCATTTATGAGTCTGGTTTGTGATCTACAGGGTGTAGATATGAATGGAAATTAATTTGAATTCAGGAGTAACCAAGCTTAAAATAACTAGAGGAAAACAGCCAAGCCATATAGCTATACATCTACGTCTATATCTATTTGTCTGCCTATCTTTCTATCTGTCTAGCTAAGCCTTTTAAATTTATTTCAGCTGTAGCCCTGTTGATGAACACACAGCAAACCAGCTTCAAAATTCAAAAGGGACAAAAGTGTTGTAACAAACAGTATTTGGGAAGTGACATTGTCTACTTGCCAGCAACACTAAACATCAGAGCCTTTGTAAACTCTTTTTTAAAAAACAAAATACCAGTTTAGGGGGGAAAAAGACACTAAGAAATAACTTTAATCACAGGGGTGGGGGAAAAAAGCCTTTTTTTATTGATATGTTTTACTTTGCTGGCAGACCAGAGCAAAGGTTTTGTGAACATTTAAAAGATGAAAAAGGTGAAGAATCCCAGAAGCGGTTTATCTTGAAGCGAGATAACTCTAGTATTGATAAAGAAGACAATCAGGTTGGTTCTCAAGTTTGAGAGTGGCTGACATTGTTGTTTTTGAAGGTGGGCTGACTGATGTTTTTGTCATTCCTCTGTGGTCCCCTCCTGCCTTCCCTACCCTCCTGCTCTGACACTACCACCCTCTCTCCATCCCCTTGGCTCCCCTGGCTTCCCCCTTTGGCATTGATGGGTAGCCAGAAACCATGTCCTGGTTGCTTTAGCAATGGCTCTGTGCTGGGCTGCATGGGTGGTGCTTGGTGCAGTACTTGCTGCATGCTATGGGGAGGTGCGGGATGCTGCTCACAGCTGTGGGGTAAGCTTGTCAGCTGCATTTCCAGATGTCTGTGTAACTCTGCCAGTCGCTCCACTCCCTACAGCTCTGTCCTTCCGTTGTGCACAAATTGAGTTGGATTATCATACGGACTGATGACCCCACCGGTGTAGCTGTAAAGAACAAACCTTGTTATGGTGAGGACAGGTGGATTTTGCAACTATCCTAAAATAAGTCTTCTCACACACACACACACACACACACACGCACACACACACACACACACAATCGAGTTTATGGTTTAGTCACCCAGCCTTCTTTCCATCTTTTCTGGTCCATGTAAAATTGTCTGCTTGTTCTGCATGAGGTGTAGCCAAACTTTATTCATGTGCAATGTGCTTGTGACAAAACACTCTGTTGATCTAGAAGAGCCTGGATCATGGTACTTGGCCCAGGATAAGGAAAGTTTGCTGATCTCATCTCTAGATATGGGGTGTGGTATCCAGAGTGAGGAAAAAGAAAATCTTAGAAAATGCAAGGGAAAACAAATTCTAAATGGTCATAAGAACAATAGAAAGCCACATAAATGCCACAGCAATTACACTTTGTGTCTAACACTCAGAAATAGATATTTTTGAAGTGACTTTGCTTTATCATTCTTAAAGGTAAGACAATCTGCATCTCACTCAGGATCTCTTCTTAATTGCTCTCTCTGAGTCACTATGAGCCACAGTGTGCATCTCTGACGAACTTTTTAATGAAATTTGTTCATCGCTTTCACCTTTTTTTCCCTCCCACCACCATATCACAGCCACTGAGTTGCACTGTGGCTCGTGTTTCACTATAAAATCTGTGCCTGTGTTGAGTACTTAGCAGGGTGTCTGGTGCATGGACGGATGAATGTGGTAAAGTGCAGGGCATGAGGTCAAGAATGGCCATGGTTAGACAGGAGGGTAGTGGAGATGCAGGAAATGGCTCAGATGAGAGGAAGAAGAAGAGCAGTCCTCATGCTGGGTTCTTTGAGTTGTTTTCACTTTGTCTGAATTGACCCTGATCAACAAATAGATATAAGTTGTAGTCATAAGGCCCTTCTTCCTGTATCAACCTGTTCACAAGACCATTGGTCAAATAAAAAAGCACCGCCGCTTGGGAGACAGTAAAATGATGTCCACATGATCTTCCATTTTGTCCCCTACGTAAGGTGCTAATGGGCTCACTTGCTCGTTCTCCTATCCCCAAGTTTTCAAAGCTATTTCTTCCCCATGTCCCTCACTGCTTTCTTCTGAGGAGTCAAAAACACACCGGCTAGAAAATGAGACAGAATCCTTACCTGGGAAGGTTGTATATTCTCAGGACTTGTGCCGCATTCAGGTACACTCATATAGGCACACCTGAGCTACTCTTCTACAGCAAGGGAACTACCACAAGCAACAAAACACACCCCATCATTGCATGCTATGTCCACATGGTCCATGTCCCCCTCACTCAGCCTCCTCAGGGACAGAGAGGGTGAGACTTGTCACACTCCAGTTGTTTAAATGAGCATTTAATATTCTCAGCTGACAGTTGTTTTTTAACAACTCAACTTGGATAACCCTCCTGATTTCTTTTCTCTGTTCAGCAAAACAGAATGCATCCATTTAGAGATGACAGACGAAGTAAATCAATTGAAGAGAGAGAAGAGGAGTATCAGAGAGTGAGGGAGAGAATATTTGCACATGATGTGAGTAGTTGTTTTAATTGCCTCTTTAGTCTGGGCCTTCCATCAGCAGAAAGGCAGCCTCATTCCCCAGACAGGGATCTGGCAGGGAGGACAGAGGCTGGAGCCAGGGAGCAGCAAATCAAACTGCAGCAGCAAAGGAAAAGTGTTTCTGGAAGAGGAGTCAGTTCAGGGAAATGCTGGAAAATGAGCCAATGGTCTGATCAGGGTGTGATCAGTATCAAAGTAGAGAGGCAACATTTTGGTCAGTAAAATGGACCTTCCATACAGAGAGAGAATGACAGATTGCGTAAATACCTACACAACCACATTAGGCCACAGAGAACTCATTTGTGGATTAACAAATGTCCCATTATGCAAAAGAAGGAATTACAAAGAAAGAGTCTGTTGCTCACACACACGTACACTTACATACATCTACAAATATATAGTACTTTCAGAGTCCTTTGCAAATATGGACACTTTGTTACAGTGAAGTTAGTAATGCTCAATCCCCTATTCCTCAATTTCATATCAAATAAAATATGCAAACAATTTGTCAAGGGAATATTCAAAAAAATAATTTCTTTTGATCAAATTCTAACAAAGAAAACATGGTTAGGATTTTATTTTTACTTTTTATCCTCTAGGGTCAAGATAAAGTGTAATTATGTTAAATAAAATCCAAAAGGAGTTTTTTAAGGCTATATTTAACATGAAAGTTAAAAGGACAAGCAATCTCCACAGAGCTTTCTATTCCCCCTAATTCATTAGAGCTTTCGCATATAGTCTGTGTACTTCCCTCAGCAAAAGCAGACATGTGGGCTACTTGGTGAGGCACCAAGTGCAGCATTCCACTTCCAAACCTCTGTAATTTGCCCTTGAGGGGGCCTCATACTAAGCCAGCCTCAGGCCTGGGTGTCAATGCTAGACTTGGAGGACTACTGCTCTGGGGGTTGACCAAGAGTTCTAGATCACCTAGCTGGTGCTGAGGCTGAAATCTAAAGCTATCTAAGAGTCAGCCTCTTACAGTTCTACATTGTTTCCCTCTCCTATCCACCTTCCCTTTCTTGAATACTCTAAATTACAATTTTAATTATTGAATATTCTGACCCAGAGCTCTGAAATTAGTGGATAGGGAGAAAGGGAGTTGGAGATTGCCATCACTAGCAATCTGGATGCAATTTTAGGAGATTCTACTTGGACTCATCATGGTCAGGCCTTTTGGAAGGTGCAAAGCACAGCCTGATACATGTTGGACCTTTAATTGTATTTGCCTGATATCAGGATGGAATGATGAAAAAGTCTACTCTCCTCGTGAGAGGTTGAGGCTTTAGAGGGGAGGGATGGGGTACATCATCATTCTTTTCTGAACATGTTTTTAGAGAGCACTTTTTTTTTTTGGTCGGTCGTGGGGCTTGAACTCTGGGCTTGGGCGTTATCCCTCAGCTCTTCAGCTCAAGGTGAGTGCTCTATCACTTAAGCCACTTTTGGTTTTCTAGTGATTTATTGGAGATAAGAGTCTCACAGACTTGCCTTGCCCAGGCTGGCTTTGAACTGTGATCCTCAGATCTCAGCCTCCTGAGTAGCTAGGATTACAGGCATGAGCCACCGGTGCCCGGCTTAGAGAGAACTTTTTATTGAAAATTATTTCACCTTTTAATCTTATACCCACTCTTAATTCCTCATGCATGCACAAACATACATTAAAAACATTGACATACTGGTTTGGGTAAGCCAAGAAATTTATGAATCTTTATGATATAAAACAAATACTAATCACACAGAAAATCACACACATAGCCTTATGGGTTTTTTTGTTTCTTTTTTTAATTAATATCATTAAGTAGTTATACAAAGGAGTTGCCATCTTGAGTGCCTTCCTGGTATGAAGATGATCCAGGTACTGCTTCCTGATTGGCTGCTTTTCATGTCCTGTCCATGGAAAGGTCTCACAGGAAGAAGGGGTTGGCTGACTTCTCTTGCACTCTTGAACCTGAATTCTAAATTTGAGCACTGAGGTAAACACAGTACTTTGACTTTCAATGGCCACATTGCTTTTCTACAAAATGCAAATGGCTGTGTACCCTGCAAAAGCAGGCTTCAGTGTGAGAATGTTAAAAGGCTCAACTGTTGCCAAGCCTTTCTGTTCCATGATATCAGCTGGCAGCCATCTTTAATGTGATATGACTTCTGTCCTCTGTACAAACAAGGATTTGAGTTGCTCTGGTAGGGTTTTTACTGGCCAACACATGTGACTTTGCATATTCAAATGGGAGGCCAGTCTATTCCTGGGACTACATTTAATACAGCATTGTAGGGCAGGGTTTAAAATTGGAATCCTACATTCAAAATACGGTAATAGAAGAGATCCCAGAATTAACTGAAGCCTCTATCATTTGTGATATGCTATGAGCACATGTGTGCGTGTTTCTAAAGGAATATTCCTTATATTTATCATATTCTGCTAACACTTAAAATCCTAAGAAGGTGGAAAGTGGGGAAGCCCAGTGTCTTTCTCCCTGGGTAGCTCTGTTAAGAGTTGGCAGCAGCCAGAAGCAGGTGGCCCATGCCTGTAATCCTAGCTACTAAGGAGGCTGAGCTCTGAGAACTGAAGTTCAAAGCCAGCATAGGCAGGAAAATACGGGAGACTCTTATCTCCAATTAACCACCAGAAAACCAGAAGTGGTGCTGAGGCTGGGAAGAGCCAAAGCCCAGAGTTCAAGCTCCACAACCAACATAAATAAATAAATAAATAAAGAGTTAGCAGCAGTACCACTGGTATTCTTGGTAAAGCTATGTTATTGTGTATGACAAAGTATCTCAAGATTTAGCTGCTTAAGCAACTAAACCAATGAATATAAAACATTTATTATCTCAAAGTTTCTTGTGCAGGCCTGTAGGAAGGGCTTGGCAGATGTCTCTGGTGCAAAGCCTCTAATCAGATGTTGGCCTTAACCTGTCAGCTGGGGCTATTGCTATTTACAGACCAGGCTTCATTATCTGTGTCTAGGCTCATTCACGTGGTGAACGGTGATCCTCCAGGACAATAATCAGAAGATCTCTGATCTCTGCCATTGGTTGCCTTCCTGACATGGCAACCACTTGATCAGGAGAAAATGATTTACTAGGGAAAGAGACTGAGCCCAAGATGGCAGTCACATACATTAATTTGGAGAATGATATACCTTGGCTTCTGCTGAATTCTATTTGACATCCAAAACAATGTCAGAACAAAGCTCTATACAGCAAGTTCCCTTGGCCTCCTCCCTGCCTCCCCCAAGGCTGGGAACATAAAGAAAAGGGATGACTAGAGATAACCCTATATTAACAAGATACTTTCTACATCCTCGGTTAACTCACATTCTCAAGGACAACATGGCAAAATGAACTTTCTTGAATCTACACAACTCTTCCTCATGATTTACATAACTGTAGCACATTGAAAGACTTTAATCAGGGAATTTCTACAACTCCAAATGGTCACTATCTCTGCCTAGATTGTTGAGGCACAACAAACAAAATCATTATTTTCAAGATGATAACTAATGTATATTAAGTTGATTACAAAACATATGCAAAGGATCCAGCATATGGATAATGAATTCAGAGAAGTCTAATATTTTTTTTTCTTAACCAGTGTTATTTAATTTGTTCATAATATAAAAATAAACTGGGCTGGGAAGATGGCTCAGTGGTAGAGCGCTTGACTTGCATGCCTGAGGCCCTGGGTTCGATTCCTCAGCACCACATAAGCAAAAAGAAAAAAGCCGGAAGTGGCGCTGTGGCTCAAGTGGTAGAGCGCTAGCCTTGAGCTGAAGAGCTGAGGGACAGCCCAGGCCCAGAGTTCAGGCCCCACAACTGGCCCAAAAAAACAAATAATATAAAAATAAACTAAGAAAATCAGCTTTGCTGGTCAATTAGCTTAGGCATAACAGGTTGAAATAGGTTGAACAGGTTCAAACAGGTAGAATACAACAGGTTCAAACAGTTTGAAACATTGAATAATTATATGTCTAGTTTCTGCTAGTTGAAATAACAATAGAGATTTCAGAGATTCCAGTATTTGGAATTTAGCAAACGTGGATTGATTTTAAAATTAGAATTGTTCTTGAATGTTTCCAAATGAATCTTTTGTCAGAGTGTCTAAAAGAGTATGTGTGTGTATGTGTGTGTGTGCATGTGTGTACATGTGTGCCCATGCAAATGCTTTCTTATATAGGCACACAAAATATGTGGAAAACATATTTCAAATCCGGTTTGAGAATCTGGGTATCTTGAAATAAGACTATTATTTGAGAACTAAATATTTATACATCAGAATACAGATCAACTCATTTTTCAACTTATAAGTATCTGTTGTCAGCCATTCTGGAAATAATCCTTTTTCTTTGGTAATTATTTCAGCTTATTTGATGGTCAGTTTGATGTGATATATACTAACTCTGAAAGGGTTGTATTAATAAAGGTGTATATTTGAGAAAGGTATGTTTTTCCTGGAGGGAAACTACACAGGCTATTTATGTGTCACTAGGAGCTCAGAGAGACCTATCCCACACTGACTCCTCTCACTTTGTCTGGAGTACCTCCTGCTGAGAACTTCTGGTAGAGCCTATAATGCCCTGGAGAGGCATTTATAGGTGGAAGGGGGGAGGAGATAAGATACAGGGAAGAATTCTGCAACCCATTAGGCAAAAAATGTTTCTCTCTTATAAAGAAAGGAGCCTTTTATATCTGGGAATGCATATAAGTGACAGCTTTAAATGTTGTACTTAATTACTGTGACAATTTTTATCTTTCTCTGCTATTAAATGTGCAAGTTATTAATACCCTTTTCTAAAATTTATTTTCACCAACGACTGAATCATGGCCATAAATGTCACTTCACGATTTTTGAAAATGTAGGGAAGAGGTGATGAGATGATTTCTTAGACCCTTCTCACAAAAATCTAAAGAAAAGTCTTGAGAGAGAATTTGTGAAAGAATATCTTTGATTTGCTGGTATCTTAACATTTTAATACAAAGAGTTTTAGTAGCTTATTCTACCCCCACCCAAATGCTGTTAGATATAACCAGTCTGAAAAGGTCAGTGTATCTTTGATCAACTTCTTTAAAAGAGTGGATTTTTCAACCATTCCAATACTAGTCACAGCATTATAAACCTAATTGACTTCTATCCAGCTAGAAGAGTTGAGAGGCAGCAAAAGTATTGGACTAAGAATGGCCACCTGAAACAGCCTCATTTTCTTCTATGACTTTATCAGGTAGTAAATTCAAACTGGGGGAAATGAAGACAACACTTGTAGCTGAGAATTCAAAAAAGGTCTTTGCAGGAACAAGGTTGATGCATCTTTTGTTTGTTTCTCTTTCTCTGTATAAAAGTCCAACTGAGAAAGCTATTTGTGAAGGCTTTCTCATTCAATTAGCAGCTTTTACTTTCTGTTCGGTAAGGGTCCTACACACGTGACATTTGAGAACCATGTTGACTACAGAAAGATAAAAGCAGAAAACCACTAGAGACCCTTACTGCTGTGCTCAGACCAGAGAAGAAAACACTAGTCTTAAATTGAGGCCTTTGGCTGGGTGCAAAGAAGTGATTTCTCTAGCAAAATGAAGAACCCCCAAACTTCTGCTTGCCTCTTGTTTTTGTCTTAAAATAGACCTGGATATCCTCTTCAATTCCTGAATGGGTCATTTATCCATCACTTAGAAAGCATCTACACATCTGATACCATTCCTCTTTGTTTGTGTGTATCTAACACTTTGGACATAAAATGGTTTTATCTCAAACTTTGTATCTTATTCTACAGACAGCACTGTGTTTGGTGGAGAATTTTCTTTTTCTTTGGTTGACATTTGGTTCGAACCACCTTTCTTCAGTATGAAATGATTATGGAATTGTATCTTGCTCTGCATTGTGTATTAAACACAGGATATGAGATAAAGGAATATGAAGTGAACAGTTGTGTAAAAGAAAGCCATTTGCTTTCTGTTTGAAGGGCCTAGAAAAACCAGAGTTTGATCATGCTTCCCTAATTAGCTTCATTTGTTAAAACTTGCCTTCTGCTCACCCCCTTATGTAAGATTAATGATGGGTTTAGTTCTGAGAGACTTGTAGCCTCTCTCTTTCTTTCAGCAGAGAGTCTCAGTTCGAAGCAGTGAGGACAGAATCATGGCCTCCTCATGCTCTCGCCCTTGGGTGGCCTGTGTCAAGTTTGCATGTCTGCTTTGAGTTTTTTGTGGGGCCCTGCCTTTGGCTTTTGTTCCTGGCTGCACTTGGCAGCTCCATCTGACTTGTATGTTTCTCCAGCAGTTTTCATTCACATCACTTCTGACCTTGATGCTGACCAGGGCTTAATCTATTTAAATCTGAACATGCCTTGATGACAAAAACTACCTGTTCTGCATGAGAATTGGTTGATCTTTAAACTCAAATGCTAACCTACTTTTTCCTTTTTTTATTTCTTTCTTTTGTACATAAGTTTCTTACTCCTTTTCTCCTAGGAGGGGGGAAGTGGTTTTAATTCAGGAATAGAGTTGGGATCCCTCAGCACACCCGAACATCTGATACAACTCCTTTTTTTATTTTTCAGTCAGTTTGCTCCCAGGAAAGTCTTTATATGGAAAACAGGTAAAATGAAATTTTCTTTTTGATATCATTAAATAGTCTGTCATGTGTGTTCTGTATACTCCCACACACATATATATTTCATATATATATTTCATATATATATATATGTGTGCTTGAATATATGTATAAGTAAATACATATATCTATCATATATACCTATATATTCACACATATGTGTTATTTAATATGTCTAAAGGTACTGAATTTGGGGAAAAAGTTCTTTGAGTTACTTCCAGACAGAGAATTAAACAATTTCCTTATTTAAAGTCTCAACCAAAGTATAATTCTTTTTACCTTTATCTGGTATTAAAAGAAAGAATTGTCAAGAACTCACAGGAATGAACAGTTTTTATTGGTTTATTTAAAAGGCTGCTACAAGTACTTCAGTATTTGATAATGTTGACCACTTCTTTATATAGTTATAGAGGTAATAGTGGGAAAACCTTTTCCAAAGTTTCTCTTTCTAAACTATTAATCTTTAACAACAGCTAGCATGAAAATCTTGCCTGAAATGGTTTGGATTTAGAGTATAACCAACTTAAGGTTTACTGAAAGGGAGAAAATGAGATATAAAGAGGATTAAAGTTTATAGGATACCTTGTGGATAAAAGCAGACATATTTCAAATATAACATATGTACTTTAAAAATTATTCTAGATGAATATATATTAAAATATTTCACTGGTTTATTCACAGATATCTAAGACATGAATGAAGGTTAAGATATAAAAGAATTCATCTTTACTTTAACTATCACATTTTTTATATGAATCATTATTGGTAACTTGTTTAGAAATATAGTTCTGGTAAAGAAAGCTGTTGTTGATTTTACTTTAGGTGTCAACTTAATAAGTATCTCTCTAAAATGGATTAAAATGGAACTGGTGAAATACCAGTAAGTACATAGAGAAATTTAAACTTGTATTTTTGAAAAAAGTGATCTTAAAAAGTCAACATTCATATTAGCAGTTAGAAATCTTCAAGTAACTAAATTCTAAGAGAAAGACTGTTTTAGAGGACAAAATGAAATTACAAAACAAGGCCATATAAGAGATTTTAAAAACTCTAAATCTTCACACAGATTTAGGCACATATCCCAGGATAAGAGTAATAGGGGGAATCCATGAGAATTAATATCTTTACAATGATTCTGAAAGCATTTCAAATTCTATGTCCACACTAAAAATGCTAAGTGCTGGCCTACAGTTCAATAATTGGGATCCTTATTCTTCCTATCATTTTCCCCACCTCAATCCCTAATCCTATTCATTTATATTTAAGCATCTGGTATATTCAAGTTGGAATTTCAGCAATATCATAATAATTGATCACACATATCTATCTACCTATTTATCTATCTATGTATGTGTGTATACATATATATACACATATCAATATATGATGTATAAACAAGACTTGATTTGGTCCCAAGAAAAATTAACCTGAAAACCTCCTTGTAAAAATTAATTTTACTTGGATACTTGCTTCTGGAATCTTTATTTTCTGCTGGACAGAAACGATTTTAATAAAACTTTATTTTTATCTGGATTGCAAAATCACAACTTGTCTATTTAATTAAATTTCTATTATACACATATCAATTTCTTTAGCTCTCTCTCCCCATCTTTTACCCAACTTCTACTTTCTCTTTCCGCAAGTGTAGGGACAAAGATCTTAACCCTTTGATGCTGCCAATCACTAATTTTATTACACTAAAATTTAACATACAAGGAAGATGATATAGAGGATTTATTTACAAGAAAGTTATCATTATAGTAGAGTACATGTCCATTTGACATATGGCATTACTTAGGTTTCATATCATAAAAATCATGTTTTTCATTTCCAGTAGGCTCTTGGAAGACAGTACCATATGCAATGAGATCTATAAGAAAAGACAGCTTTTTCGGTTGGTATTGTTTACTTTCTTTAAACTGTGTTTTCAGATTATGTGGTGAAATCCATGTTAAATATAAGTGTATTACTGTAAAAATATTTCCTTTCATGGAAAAAATATTGTTCAGTCCTCTCCTGACAGTTTGTTACACAGCCAGTGTGGAGCCATATTGGATAATATGGAATATCGGGCTTGAAAGCTTGTATATACTTCTTCAGGCTTCTTCCTGAGTGTCTGCTTTTGGAGGGCTAACTCTGGCTGCACACTGGTGTAAGATTTCCAGATCTATTGTGGTGATTATACTGAGTTAAAATGTTTCTGGCAGGATGAAATTATGCATTTATAGCCATTACTAGAAAATAAATCAATGATAACTCTATTTGGATAGCTGAATTTTAAATCACTACTTCCATCATAATATTTTTAAATATTTCCAAAAGAAACTACAAAGTTCCTCCAAATTATAATGAGCAAGGAGTACTATAAATATACTCATTATCTAATGTGTATATTAAATGTATTGACTAATGTATGAATAGTAGGATTTATCTCTGTAAGAGGAAAGACAAGATGAAACTCTTGCTGGCTTTAAAGATAGAAAACCCTTTTTTAAAAATGTGCTTAAAAGTACTTTTGCAGTCAATTTGAAATTTGAATGCCTCCATTAAGAATGCAGTCAATTTGAAATCTGATGCCACCATTAAAAACTTATCATAAGGGCTGGGAATGTGACTTAGTGGTGGAATGGTTGCCCAGCATGCATGAAGCTCTAGGTTTGATTCCTCAATACCACATAAACAGAAAAGGCCAGAAGTGGTACTGTAGCTCAAGTGGTAGAGTGCTAGCCTTGAGCACAGAGAGGCTCAGGAACAGTGTCCTGGCCCTGAGTTCAAGCCCCAGGACTGCCACCATCCCTGCCACGCCCCCTACCCCAAAAAAGAGTAAGCCAGGCTAATTGACTCATGTTTGTAATCCCAGCTATTTAAAAGGCAGAGATTTGTGAAGTCTGAGGCCAGCCAAGGCAAAAAGTTAGTGAAATAACATCTCAACAAACAAGCTAGGCATAGTGATACCTAACTATCATACTAGCTGCACATGAGAAATGGGTAGGAGGATGGAGATCCAAACCCAAGGGGATGCGAGTGAGTTAAGGAACATGAGAATTTACCTGAAAAATAATTAAAGTCAACAAGGTCTGAGAGCTGAGGGCATTGCTGAAGTGGTAGAGTCTGTATAGCAAGCAGAGTTCAAACTTCAATACCAACAAAATAATAAAGATTAAAAAATAAAAGATGGATATTTTTCAACTTCTTTTGCTTTACTAAATCAAATTACATAGTCTAACTTCCCATAATTTTAGACATTTTTTCATACTTGATTATTAAAGAGATAGCCTTGCATTTCTCTTTTAAAAAGAAAGAGGGAAAAATTAAGTTTATCATTATCCCTGCAACTCACATACTTCAACCTAGTTTGTTTAAGCAGATACAGAAAACATACATATTCTTGACTTTAAGTTAGTTTTATATAGCCCCCCCCAATAGCCTTCTAGAAGAGCTAGACTCAAGTCAGCCATCCAAAATATTAGTCCTATCACCCACCAAAATCAAGCAAAGAAACCAGAAAGGCAACTTAGCACAAAACCAGCGACATAATTGTAAAGGCAATTCTAAGTATAAATCATTCATTGCTTGGGCAATAAATAATGATACAATGTACAGAAGTGAAGGAAAATAAATGCTATCAGTTGTAAATCAGCAGAGAAACAGAACTCAGGGTATATGCTTGAGGACCAAATTTAATAACTAGTGCTTGCATGATAACTAGAATTACACCTCAGCCTCAGTTCCAATAACCAATCTTCTCCTGGATCCCCGTTGGAAAGATTTTTGAATGCAGGAAGATGGGTATGGACTTGAGCCTATGTTTTGTTTGATATTTGTGATTCTGTACTAAACACAAATAGGTAGAGAACCTCAGCTAGACCTTGTTGAAAGGAACATTACCTAGAGAAGTAAAAAGTATATTTCAATGTGCACATATCTAGAAATCATAAAATAAAATGGGATAGAGTAAATTTCCTTCATGCTAACTCCCTAAAGCAGTAATTTAATTCTGTCTGTTAAAACAGGCAAATCATGATTTGGGACAATGATTTGAGCTGGCAGAATAGACATTAAGAAGCTAAGGCCTAAATAATTTTTTAAAAAAGCAAGAAAAAAAAGAAGAAGCTAAGGTCATTGAGCAGGGTATTCAATGAAAGCAACACACACACACACAAGTTTAGAAAAAGCTCTAGTCCAAAGGGTATACACCATGACCTAGTACCTTATACCCCCTAAAAATGGTAACTACCACTTTGACTATTAGGATCTCAGCTCTACTGTTACAAGTCCAGATTCCTCTCATGAAATACTAAAGTCATGGAAGAAAGAGAACTAAAACAGAATAAAGATGGAATAAGGGTCTCCCCAGCCCCATGTGGACACCTTTCTTCTGTGGCATTCTACATGATGAATCTAAGGACAAGTGTTTTCTATAATAACTATCCTGATTGGCTACAGAGGAGATTAGTGCCATGTCTTGGTCCATCCAGTGTAGCAAAAAATGATCTAGCCCAAGCTAAAACTGAGTCAGTGTAATCAGAATTAAAAAAACACAAAGTTGGATTTGCACAGTGGAAGAAAACCCAAGAATGGAACAGGAAACTCTGGAAGAGACCGATTTTATACATCCTGCCTCCTGTGGCTTTCTTAAATTTCAGAAGAGTATCAAGAGGTAAAGTCATGTGTTGTTGGTAAGAGTGCTTCCTTCTGTAGGCAGGTCTCTTCACAAGTAGTCATTGTTTCTGATTTCTGAGAGCAGAGACTGTAAGAAAATATTGAAGAGCTCACAGGGTATGGAAGATTTCATCTATTTCCACCTTTCCAGTGGTTTCTGTTTTCCAAGTTTTCTGTTCTTTGTCCTATCTGCTTTTATAAGCTTCCCTTTATATATTAGTTATTTCATTTTATTTTCTCTTGGATCTATTTAACTTCTCAAATGTTCCTAGAAGTTTAGTAAAGCAAAGTTGGAGCAAAACCTACTGTTTATGTGTACTTTTTGTACAATTTGGCAGATTGGTGCTCTGTCCTTTGTGCTGCTGATGCACATGTGTGATATTTGATTCAATAATTCAATGTGAAGCAAGGCATGTGGGGCTCAGGCCAGAAATCCTAGCTTATATAGGAGTCTGAGATTGAAGGAATGCAGTTCAAAACCAACCTAGGAAGGGAAGGCCATGAAACCAATTGGATACAATAGTTTTTGTGTTGGTGCTTAATTAGCACCAAAAACCTGTAGGTAGAGCTGTGGCTCAAGAGGTAAAAATCCCAACCTTGAGCTGCCTGGGGCAGTGCCAAGGCCCTGGGCTCAAACCTTCCACATGAAAGAGTTCAATGTGTTACATTACCTATTGATATCAAATTAGGGGTCACATTTCTTGCGCATGATTAATTTCCCCTCCATTTATGTATAATCCACAAGAATCATAGGGTGCTTTAATTATGGATTTATTTTCATGTGCAGAAAAAAAAGAAATTGGAAATATCAACAAAGTAAGTCCTTAAGCAGATTGGAAAGCAATGAAAATGCAAATTGAGTCACATTTCCAAATAGAGCACATTCAGTTTTGCATACTGCTTAAAGACACTCTGGAATCCGTGAAATTCACTTCTGTCTACTGGAATCTTTCCAGTACACCAATGTCTTTCTCTTTGAATTTGGAAAGAATGAATTCTTTCACATAATGGTATGTCGAGTATTTCCATTGATTGCCTGGGAAAGTTTTGGATTTCTCTAGAACGTTGGCTCTGTAGTTTTGATAAGCTTTAATGTGAGTAGCATTAAAACCCCATTCCCTTCGACCATGAAGGCTAAACTGACTGGGCAATGTCCTTACTATGGGCTGATAGAGTAAATTCTGTAATTTCTAGTCTGTCTGTCAAAGCCTTGGTAAATTCAAATATCACATAGATTATAAAGATGGAAAATGAATTAATAAATAGTCTGTCTAGACCTTGTACAATTTTTTTCAGGACAATCATTTCACACTGAAGAGAAAGAAGGGCTCTTCTTTAGTGGGAATTACTTTTAGACTCATTAACTATGATAATAACTTCTGAATATCATTGTTTACTTGAGTCAGGAGAACTTATCCCCTTATCCTCTCTCCAGGAGATAATGACTACATTTTATACCATGTCTGTCTAGTTTGTTTCTCCATCCCTGGCAGAGGAATCATGTGACATTTCTAGGTTTGACTTTTCTGTTGGTAGTGTTTGTGTTGTATGTGGTGCGGTATCTGTCTATCCATCATCAGGATATCAGTAGCCTATTTGTGGGGACACTTGGGTTCATTAAAGATGATGAATAGAAGGGTCCTGTGTAAGATAACCCTCCAAGAGTGCCGTGAGTGACATAGCCCTGTTCCCGTGTATCTTTCTGGTGCTATGCTCCAGGGGCAACAGAGACAGCTCAGGGAGGACATCAGGGAGTCGGCAAAGCAGCTCAGAGAACGAACTCAAGTGGTCTGACCACCACAGGGCCTGGAGCAGCACAGACTCTGACAGCTCTAACCGCAACCTACGGCCTACCATGACTAAGACGGCGAGTTTTGGGGGCATCACGGTGCTGACCAGGGGTGACAGCGCATCCAGTACCAGGAGTGCCGGGAAGCTGTCCAAAACAGGTATTTAGTACTATATGGGTTCATGTATTGGTTTTTTGCTTTGTTCTGTTTTGCTTTTTATGGTCGGTCATGGGGCTTGAACTCTGGGCCTGAGTGCTGTCCCTCAGCTCTTCAGCCTAAGACAAGCACTCTACCACTTGAGCCACAGCACTACTCCCAGTTTTCTGGTGGCTTATTGGAGATAAGAGTCTCATGGACTTTCCTGTCCAGGCTGGCTTTGAACCACGATCCTCAGATCTCAGCCTCCTGAGTAGCTAGGATTATAGGCCTGAACCACCAGCACCCAGTTGGCATTTTTTATTTTTAATTTATCCAAATTGTAGCAGTGTCTTTGACTTTAAATGAGTTGTTAGCCATGATGCAGATTGCTCTATGTTCTGGGAAGGAGAATGCTAGTTATTATATAGCTTAGTACATCCTTCTAGCCATGTGCCTGTCTCAAATTATTAAACTCTCTAGCACTCAGTTTCCTTATTTAAAAATAATGCAGACTATTGAAAAAGTGGAACTCGGACTCATTTCAGTAGTGTTTAATCACCTAAGTTCCTTTGCTTACATTTTCCCAGTAAAGTTTAAATTAGATGACTTTTGTGATTTATTCCATGCAGCCTCCTGAAAGACAATTATACTATTGGTAGGCTTATCTCTTACATTAGTATAATGTTGGTATGACAGTGAGCATATGCTTTTACTTATACATACCCGTGTCCTCATCTGAGATTTGATGATGAAAGTGTTGAGAAGGCTGAAAGTCTCAATATACACCAAGCTATTCTTTCTCATCTTTCTTTATGCCATTTGATGTTTTCATTCCTTCCTAGCAAAAGGGAAAAAATGACTCTAAGAGAGGTCTAGAGTGTCTGTGTTGATAGATGCAAGTATCTTTTTCTGTCCCCCTCATTTTTTGTTGGTTGGTTGGTTGGTTGTGGTGTCCCTCTACCTCTCCTTTCTCAAAGGTGATAGGCTGATATAAGTAATTGAAGTAGCATAACTGTTCCTGAGGAGATGAGGGTTAATGGTCTAGTAGAACTGTTCACTTGAAGCAGCTTGAAACTGATGGATAAAATACATTTTATTGTCTCAGAAAAGCAGAATCACTGGCTTTGGCTAGACTGGGGGGGGTTCAGAACTCTGTATGATATGTATGTGCTGGTGGAGCACTCATGGGTCTAGAGTGATAGATAAATGAGAGACTGGTGCAGAACACTGTAGGGAAGGGAAAATCCTGATCAGAGTATGGATGGGGCAGCATTGGATTAAAGACTTTCCTAGCCACACTCATTTTGGGTCTCATCATTCATGATGGTGGTCCTTTAACTTAATTATGTCATAGACAGATTCCTCCTGAGAAATGATCTCATATTTTCCTACATAGGAAGGAAATAAATAGCATTTAGTCAAGTCCCTAACAATGAACTCTGTGAAGAGTTACAGGTAGGCTCCTTCTTTCTTCTTGCTAGTTCCATTCACTAGTTTGTTGAGCTTTGGTTTTCTTAATTCTAATTAATTGCTCTCCTACCCGCTACTGAAGCAGCTGAAATCAAGTCAATCCAAATGCACTCTGGTACACTTGAGCTCTTGTAAACTAAGTAAGGTTAAATAGTTTGCAATCTTAACATGCAGAAACCAAGTATCTTAAGTGGTGCACTTACAAATTCCAGCACACCAAAAGAGCTCTTAAGATTTTAATCATCATTGTCTCCCATGTACTAATTCCCAGTCACTTCCTAAGCAAAGCTCTTTGGGAACATTTAAGACCCTCCAAAACTGCTCAAATGCCATGTTCTTTAAAGGATGATTAGGGATTGTTAGATACTCCAGACATTTTTTTTTTTACTCCTAACTTAAGTGTCACCATCTGAAAGCTTGTCAAGGTGTAGGCATGGAAAGGGGAAAGGAAATTAAGGGAGATCACCATAGGATATCAAAAAAAACTTAAAAGTTTCCACAGGGATTGATGGAGTGATGCTCTAGCCTTGCTGCTATATACTTCAGAGCATCACAATGTTCTGATGTCTTGCCTCTTTGTTCACAAGAGAATTACAAACTCTTTTTTAAGCCATTCCAGAAATCAAGTCTAGCGTGTGACATTTAAGCTACGTTTCCTCCTTTTCTAATTACAGAGGTTCTAGCTTGAGTGGGATAATAGTGAAACTTGTTCTGTCTTCAAATGATGCTTTCCTTTATTTTCATTAAAAAGCCCCTTCTTAGATCTGAACAAATATCTGTGTGTGTGTGTGTGTGTGTGTGTGTGTGTGTGTGTGTGTGTGTGTGTGT